CAGCGCGCAACTTACTTTCCGCCCACGGCGGCGCCCGGCCCACCCCGGCCCCGGACGCCTGCCGCGGAGAAAAGGCGGAGGCCAGCCCCGCGCGCCTGCCCCGCCGAGCGCTGCGCTCGCCCTACCTCAGCCGGCAGGCGGCCGTCCGTCCGCAGCGGCCGCAGCACCAACTCCCTCCCGGCCGCCGGAACCCCGCACCCAGCGTTAATCATAATAGCGGCCGGGAGTGCGACCGCGCTGCGCTTGCGCGGGCTACGTCACTGTGACGAAAGCGCCGGGGCGGGGAGAGGGAGGGGCCCGGTCTGGGGGCGGGGCCGGAGCGCACCTGCGGGCCAGCGAGCCAACAAGGGAGGGTGTGCAGGCTGCGGCCGGAGCTCGGTCAGCCCCGACCTCACGGAGCCTGCGCGGGCCTCAAGTCACTGTGACGACAGTGCTGGGGCGGGTCCTTGGACGGGGGCGTGGCTGGGGGCGTGGCCTGGAGGGCGCACCTGCTGGCCAGTGCGGGGTCAGTCCTGCCTGTGGCCAGAGCACAACCTACACGGATCACGCTGGCTGGAGCAAGCAGGCAAGAGCTCCAGGATAGGAGCTGCGCATTAGGAAGCACCAGGACACCAGACAGCAGCAGAGTCTAGCCGCTCCAGCTGTCAGGGGAAATTGGAGGCAAGGGACCTGCGTCTTGGGGCAGGGGGCGGGGCTTCAGGTCCTTTACCTCTTTGAAGTTCACCCTATCTGCCATCCAGGTTTAGGCAATGAGACGGAACAAAATGAATATACATATGCACATGCATATATATATATACACATATGCACAAACATGTATACACATATGCACTTATATACACATTTGTTTTCTTTACTGTTTCTTCTCACTGGGAATTCATTTGAAGGAAATCTGTTGATTTTGTTGCTACTGAAACAAAAAAGGGCAAAGCCCAACATCTAAATGCAGCACTCGCCTTCAAAGTCAGCAAGAGGCTTTGGGCAGGCAGGCTCTGGAAACATCTCTAGGCTTTAACTATGGATTCAGCTGCGCGGTTGCCAGGCCCGGTGTTTGGGAAAGGGAGCTTAGAGATGAAGTGATGAGGAGGGGAACTCCAAGCTCTCACTCCTGGAAGGGTTTGAGCCACGGAGACCAGTCATCTGGGGTTCCTGGAGAGGAGCGCCAAGAATTCAGGTGCCAGATGCTCCGCCTACTTTTCCCTCTGGTTTCCCAGTCCCCTAAGACAGGAACCCTAGCAAAGAAAGATAAAAATAGAAAGACCTGCTTATAAGTTCCAGCCCTGTTTGAATGCCCAGACAAAGAACTCTAAAGGTCTTCAGCAATCTCCCTGTTCATCTGCAAATGTCAAAATTCTTTTTGTTTTTTTTTTAGGACTGTACCATCAGCTTTGCCTGCCTGAGGGTGACTGGGAAGCACCCTCACCTCCAGAGGAAGGTGATCTCTCTGGAAATATGACTTTTCAGTTGAAAGGGGTACTTTCAGTTAACCTTATGCTTTAGCACTGGGTAGTGGAGAGTACTAAGGAAAGCCTCAAGCTGGGCCTCTCTAACTTCAAAAGCTCATGAAAGGAAATGTCATTTTGACGTGGAAATTCTTTTTTAAAAAATATTTTTATTTGTGTGGAGGGATAGCATCATGTGTGTGGCAGTGCCCATGTGGATGTCAGAGAACAACTTCCTGGTGAGTCAACTCCCCCCTCCACCACATGGGTCCCAGGGATTGAACTCAAATCACTGGGCATAGCATCAGTCACCTCCACTAGCTGAGCCATCTCACCAGCTCTGACATGGATATTCTAATTAGTCACATATTAAGCAAGAACTCCTAACTTGGATTCGTACAATTCTTTCTTTTGCTGGAAGACCATGCCCTTTATCCTCTAGGATTATCGGTAGTCAGGGAACCCTTTGGCCAACTAAGAACACATCGTGCTGATAGTCTCCCAAGGAAACTGCAGTGGCTGAAGGCCTTCGCCCATGTCTGAGCCCCAAAGAACTATCTGTAAGCATAGCACAGTGACCACAGTATATAAGCCCTTGAAAGTGGAGTATTTGTGTTGCTACTGGGTTACTTAGACTTTGAATCAATCCTCTGAGAAAAACAAGGCATAAAACAGTTCCTGAAGAGGGTCAAAATAGTAAGTTGATTTAAATGAAATCAACTCCAATTCACGTCCAAGGGGTAAGATACAGTGGAGGCCATAAGGTAAATCATTTATTCATCTGCAATATTTCTTGGTAGGATGGAGCACTGCTGGCAAGAAGGTGACACTTTTTGGTTCCACACCTTAAATGTGCTAATACGATCTGGTTACACTTGAGCAATATTTTAAAATATTCAAGTACAAATTACTGTATTATTACTTAACTTGGAGTTTAAGCAAATGTACTTATTTTAATGAAGAAACCCCTTCTCCAATCTGCCCTGGTGCTCTCTTCAACACACATTGCTTTTTTAATGTTAGGTTTTTTTTAACGGACCTGCAAGATGCTTTAATTAGATATACAGCACTGTACAAAATGACAAGATGGAGCATACAGGCTTATGTTACAGTCTCTATGATTCATATCTCAAAAATAACAGAATGCCACCAATTTAAGGAAGAAGTTGTTTATTGGAAGAAAACCAGGGAGGTGCCACAAATTAGATCAAGATGTGACAGTCAAGCAAATTCATGAATGAATTACCATTTTCAACTTGAGACCATCAAAAGCAACCTGTTTAACAAAGTTATCTTCTCCATATAGTAGTTTTCATCATTTATTAAAAAATAAATATTTAAAGGAGCAGATATTGATTAACCACATAAAGTGAATATTTTGTGTTGAGGTATTTTATGTGATTTTCCTTTTGCAT